TTGGCTTCTTCGTTAAGAACAACTTGCCCCAGCAACCATACCCCAATCTCGGTTAAGAGGTGTTACATCGTTCACCGCCACTTGCCCCAGCAACTTTTACCCCAATCCTGGCTGACAGGTTTGGCTTCTTTGTTCAGAACAACTTGCCCCAGCAACCATACCCCAATCTCGGTTAAGAGGTGTTACATCGTTCACCGCCACTTGCCCCAGCAACTTTACCCCAATCCTGGCTGACATGTTTGGCTTCTTCAGCCAAGGCTCGGAGAATCTGGTGCCGGTGTCGCGGCCATTGCCCGCAGGTCTCGTGCCTTCGGTGGCCTTCACAACCTGTTAACTTCTGCGCAGTGCTCTGCTATTCCCGTTGACATGAGGGCGTGCCATGTGTGATTTGAGTCACCTAATCGTGCAAGCAGCCCTGGATTCTGCCATGACTGCCGCTGGCCCAAGACGGGCTTCACCATGCTTGCGGCACTCTTCTGCACATCAGGGCCTTGAAGCTGCTGCGGATAGCCATGGTAAACGCAAGCATGACCGGACTACCGCACACAAACGCTTCCTGCTACAGTAGGGATGGACGAGACCTTTCCGTCTAGCATGCAGCGTCAGTGGATTCGCCTTTCAGAAGTACCCAAACTCGCTTTGAAACAGAATCTATGAACTACCTGTCTGGCCAATTTGAAAAATGCGGCCAGTTTGAAAGGAACAAGACAGGAGCTCCTGCGTCCCATGGGCCATCGAAATGGAAGATTAACACCCAGGGGACTTGCGGAAGAAGCCCGCCAACTCTGCAAGCTTTCAGAAAGATTCGGGAAACTGCTCTGTTGGTGTCCCCTCTTAAAGAGTTCTGGTTGCCAACTCAAGCCTTGAAGCTCCTATACCCTATACTACAAATAGAGAGCACACAGGGACTGGGAGCCTGTCCTAGATTCCAGGGCTTTTCTACGGCTTGGAGGCGCTGAAATGGAACGAATGAAACTCAGCACGGCCTGATCTGGGCTCAGTAGCAGACCAGCGAAGGCACGTGCCTTCCTTGTGAATTGATGGGGCCGGAACCCGGGCATCGGAGTATTGCAGAAAGACCAAGGCCGCGGCAACTGCACAATGAAAACAAGGCATTCAGCTGCTCGCCGTGGCTTCTTCCAGGACCTCAGCGGAGCTCACAAGCGAAGGCCCGGTCTGCGCGGCGGTAAGGGCGCGCGGCGGGACCAATCCGAGGGACACAGACTCAACACCGCAAGAGCCCTCACCATGCGTGCACAAGCTGGCCGGCGGCATCTCAGATTTCTGCCGTCAAGAAATAACGCACCGAGACATGGGTGGGGCACTGCGAGCCCAAGAGCATATTGGAACCGTCCTCTGCTCGCCCTGGGAGGCTGCCCCTGTGACCGAGGCGCTAGTCGCTCTCGAGTTCGGGCCGCGCAGGAGTTGCGGCCCGCTCAAACAACAACAATAAGCCAGGGGTCGCTGCTAGCGTTGTCTTGGAAATGTCCTGCACAAGTACTGCACACAAGCTGAGCACTCGGCTTTGTTCTCAGACCTGAGATGTTCAGTGCACGAGGCAGCTTACGGCCACCAGCTTGGAAGCTTTGTGCCTTCTTACCTCTGGGCAACTACCATTCCCCCGGTTCCCCCCGCCCAAAAGCACCCGAGGCTGCTCAGGCTCCTCTCTAGTTACTCTCGAGTTCTTCTGGGCATCGGACGTATCGGAGCTGTCGGAGAGCCGGCTCAGAACGTCCACCTGCACCTCGCCCGTCTCCGACCTCGGCGATCTCTGCCATGCACCACCCTTTGGGCTCTTTGACTCCTATAGTTACCTAGTTTCTGCTTCCAAAGGACAAGTCAGCCGCTGTTCACTGCAACTTCCTGCCCTGATCTGCTCGGACCTCCGAACCTCTCTTAATTAATTGTGCCCTTCAGTTCCCGGCGCGCTCAGCCGCACGGCACGCTTCTCCTCCGATCTTTTGTTCTATGCCGTCACAGCTTTACAAAGCACAATGTGTACATATATGAGGCTTCGTCTAAAGCAGGGGCTGTCTTTTCATTTCAGAGCCCTCCAGAAGGCACTTGCAGTAACGGCCCCCGAAGGCCTTCCGAGACTCGGCTGCATTTTGCAGGAGATGCTCGGCCAGCGTGTCCTCACCCAAACCCCCCCAAAAAGAACGCGGGCTTCCGATTATCGGTCGGATCAAGAACTTCAGAGCCCTGGCGGCTCAAGGAAGCCTCGAGCATGCGTGTGATGGCCCGGCGCAGCGGCCTGCGATCAGAAGCATCTCTCAGAATTATTCGGATAAAACAGGACAGAGAGAGAGACACAGAGTCAAGTAGGACAAAGATTCGCACAGATTGCCAGGCCTCGCCCCGTAGGCCGGGTCGTAGCCTTCCTTCAGCACTTGCTCCTGCATGGGGATCCGAGGCATCAGCTGCGACTCTTGGGCTCTGAAGGATGCTTTCGACGGGGGTCACCCCTTCAGCCAGGCTCGCCCCCCCCCGTCCTTGAAGCTCGGGGAGAGTGTGACTTCCAGGTCCTGTCGCGGACTGCGGCTCAGAAACTCTGACCGTGGTGGTTTTCACCATGGCACGGCAGGGGCGCTCCTTGTCGGCAAGCCTGGCAGGGTACGAGCAAAGGTGTGCCCGCCCTGTACCCTCCCTAGAAAGGCATTTGGGCCTGGCCTGGCCATCACCTTCTTGAACTCCACCTCCACTCGGCAACGGCAGACTCTGATCTCGCAAAGCTCCTAAAAGGGGCACCTCTGCGATGGCCCTGACATCATCTTCCTTCAGAGGTCGGAAGACGATGACCTCATCGAGCCTGCGCAGCTGGACCCAGCCCACTCTGTGTTTTTTGCAAGCCCATGTCTAGCATGTGCGGCCTGTTCAAGAACTCCGGTCTGAAGAAGCTCTTCATCTCCTCGATAGACAGAGGTGCTGTGCAACATATGCTATAGCAGCTGCTAGCAGCTAGCAGGATTGGGCGTTGCTATAGACCTGACTCAGTCCTCGTGGACGAGCTCCTTGACCTTGCTGTACTTGTCCTCCTCCACATCCTGGCGAACTGAAGTTGCAACCCTCTTCCCTGCTTCTTCTGACCCTCCAAGAGCGCCTCGCCTCCCCCACGCCGAAGCCCAAGCCCAGGCCACCTGCTGCGGACTTCTGCACCTGGGTAGACTGCGGCTCGCGCCACAGTCGACGCTCCTCGCTTCTTCGCAGATCCTCCGATCCGAGCCCTCGGCAGAGCGGCTTCCGATGTTGGAGGTCATCACCACCTCACACGAGCTGTGAATAAGAACTCTCCTACATCCTAGCGACTCTTCCCGCATCCGAGAGCTCCGGGGAACCCGGCGAGGGTGTTGGCGAAGGAGACGACGCGGCCTCTGGAGTCCGTCAGCCTTGGGCCGTCTTGCGAAGTAAAGACCCGTAGAGCCGAGATGTCCTCTGAGGACTGTTGCCTGCCGTCATCAAGGAGCTGCAGAAGGATGTTGAAGACATCCGGGTGGGCCTTCTCCACCTGCAAAAAACCCAAAAGCCTCCCAGAGATAGTCGCAGAGTCGCAAAGGGCCGCCTCGTCGAAGAGCACCAGGGAGTATGGTCGCCTCCTCACCGCCTGAATCGCAAGGTGTTTCTTTTTGCAGATGCGCTTATCAGATCTCCCCTTTTGCGCTGGTTTCTGGGAGGATGTCCACAGCCCACTCCGTACCCGGCAGTGCCGAGTCCATTTTGTTTTTTTGGCTTCAACAAAGGCTAAGCGAATCTCTGCGTGGCTTTGCTTTCACCTGCTTTTGTGGCCTGCCCGGGCCTAAGTTGGCCTTTAGGAGTTGTCGGGGCAGAAACAAACCAATCGTTGACTTCCAGCTTGTTGCACTTTCACCTTCGTTGTGCTTCACTAAAACAAATTAAAACATCCGTGCCTGTTTCTTGTGCTAACTGACAGCATTGTTGGAAATTCTCATAGGTGGTCTGGAAAGACTGACATTCTTGACTTCTTCTTGCAAAGGTGACCATGTTGTTTTTGAAAAACTGACAACATCAGCTTGTTGGCCAAAGGTAGGCTTTTTCTGCTAAATTGGCTTCTCCAGGATGTACAGCCAGCCAGCTTTTTTTTCAACGCGGGTTCTGGCAGTTGGTCTCACACCGTCTCACTGTCACGAGGGACAAGGTCCGACATCCTCGAAAGTGATATTGTAGTAGTACTGGATGGAGTTGACGCCCAGCCCCATCCTGGTCTGAGGCCCTGGGAGCCGGAAGCGGGTCCAAGAAGCGTACTTAAGCTCCTGGCGCTTGTTTGAGAAGAGGTGCTCGGAGGTATCCCATTTGCCCTTCACGTAAGGCTCAGGGAAGTCTTTGGTCTCAAACCAGCTGAGGAAGGCTTCGCCATCCATGGAGTGGGCAGTGACCGCTGCCGCGATATCGGGCCATGGTCCGAAAGCTGACTTACCATTCCTTTGCCAATCCTCCGGCACAGCATGTTCCTTCGTCAGCCAATCAGCCATCTGCTCCGGCGTCCACAGCCGCCAAGGATCGTTCTGGATCTTGGTAATACTGGCAATCTTGAAGACAAGGTTCGGGAGCAAGAGCCATTCCTGCTCACGCCTGTTCCACTCCGTGACATTCTTGGCATAGCATGTGTTGAAAGTCAGAAAGGTAGGGAAGGCCTGTCCCTGCTCGAGGCAGTTATAAGCACAAGTCTCCGGCTCACTCTTCCGAGTCATGAATGTGAGGGCATGTGTTTGAAGCGAAGTCGTTGACTGAAACCACGGAAAGCTGATGGTAGAGCCGGAGTCCAAGGCCGCCTGCATGTTTCGGAATTGCTCACCAGACGTCCAGCCGCCGCGAAACAGCTGCGCTATGCCCGTGACAGGCAGCTTGTTCAGGACGTCGCCCAACTTTGCCTCGAAGAGCAAGATCTCCCGAACGAGCTCAGCTTTCCCGTTCTTATTACCTGCTCGGAACTGCTCAAAGTTCGAGGGCAGCAGGCCGTGTCCCAGCTGCCCCATGGGACGTGAGTAGCCGTAAGTGCCGAGGTAATCGTTCAAAGTCTTAAGCTCGTTGTTTGAGAGCTTCCGACCTTGAGAAGATGGATTCCACCAGCTCAAGGCCCTCCAAGCGTCCCCTTGGACTGTGTCGGTTCCGAGAACGACCTCTTGATCACAGAACTGGACCTGAACCCCTGTTGACACGGCAGTCACCTTTGCTTCACGAAGGCTCTCGTAATCACAATCTGTTGTCTTCATCACCGTCTGCGGCTCTATCGTCCGCACTGCGGAGGCCCGCCAAAGGCCAAGCAGTACTAGCAACAAGCCCGCGCGGAGCGAGGGCGGCATTGAGGAATGGGATGTGGAGTTCGCAATCAACAGTCTCAGCTTGAGAAACTCGGAGCCACGAACCATCAAGACCACGATCGAGCAGGACTGTGCGGAACCGCGAAGAAGGATCCCACGTGTTGTAATGAGTGCAAGGTGTTCCTTTTCGAGGGCTGCAATGTGGTTTCTGCATCTACTCCAACTGCGAGAATCATAACAAAACATCTTCTCGAAACTGCAATGGTAAACTGGCAAACAAACTTACCGAAAGGCTGCTCGGTTGTTCACAGAGCTGGGATGCTTTGAATTTCCAGCGCCCGATCTGCAGCCTCGGTGAGGGCTCCCCCGTCGCTGTAGCCAACCTGGCTTGGTTACTGGGCTTCTGTCGAACTCAAAGCTTGCGGTGCCAAAGCGCAGTGCCTGTCCCACTCAGCGGGCATTTTAACTCTCTGTGCTCCGCTCTGGCGGCACTGCGCACGGCAGTACGCTGCGGAAAGATATCGCAAGAGGTCTGACCAAGCTTGCATGGCGAACTCATTGCTCCGCCTTTGAAATCCTTAGACAAGAGCCCGTAAGAAAAATATGCACAATCGCTGAGCTTCAGCTCGTACAGCAGCCGATCTTGCAAAAGCTTCAACAATTCGAGTGCCTTCGTTTCTTCCGAGGAGCAAAGGCCCAGTGGCCTGCATGGCTTCGTGCCAGCCGCGGATCAAGCCGGCCCAATAACCGCTAGTGAGCCGCTGTAGCACCCTGCCAATAGAAGCACATAAGCACCTATTGTCAATAAAGGAATTATAGTATTACTATTTTTGCTGTTACTTGAAACTATGACAAGGGCTTAGGCGCCTCGGAGAGAACGGCTGAGCCCCCCATTTCTGCGAGATCTGCTTCTTCCAGGAAAAGGCATTCAAAGGCACCTTGCTGGCAACAACAGTCAAGCTCGATAAAAGGCGTCTTAAACAGGTCATTGCAGCATCATGGCATTGCATTCGAAGTCACATCCCACCAGGACTGCACGATCACGACCGGAAACCTAGCAGTTTCTGAGCGGTAGGCTAAGTTTTGTAGGACAAGCAGCGAAGCTCTAGCAAAGCCGCCAGAAGCTGCAACCCTTGACTTGTGTGCTGATTGTTGGGCATGGTTTCCCTGTGCCATCGTTTTATGTTTGGCCTCCAAGGAGAATGTAACCAGCAGAGCTGTCGCCCCCGAGCTTCACTTCAACCGCGTGAGGCGTGGGCAAAGTCCATGCAAACGCTGCAGCTAACTGCTGCAAACATGCCCTGTGAGCTCTTCGTGCATTCCTTATAAGCCAGTCCAAGCGGCTCTGCGTACAATCCATCCAAGCTTGATGCGATGACCACTGGCACACTTCCCATCAGCAGCACCTTCGATGGTGCACACCGCAGCAGAAAGACTGTGGAAGTTAGAGTACTGGGCCCGAGGCCCTGGCAAGGAGTGTAGGCGGATGATGGCAGGGTAGTTCCGATGCTTCATATCAATACAACTTGGAAAGGATGATAAGGCATGAAGTTGGCCGGATGGGGGCATAACGAGTCAGCAAACGAAAGGGATTCTCTGGACTGGGCCATGCGACGGAGCACAGTTCATCGTTCTGTCTGACTGATTGATTGCTTAGAACAGCGCTAAAGAGTCTGGCCTCAGTTTCTGAACATTCAAAAAGACAGCAGGAGCGGCAACAGAGGCAAGAGACGGTTCGCAGCCGAGGCTACCTGTTGACATGATACCTTCTTCGGGTAAGGGGCTTCTAGAGAGAGGATCCCATGCATGCTTGCACCTATGGTCTCCATTGTAGTTCCTTTTTTTCAACCAATCTTACATTAAGGATCTTGCAAGGTAACCCCAAAAAGGAACTACAATGGAGACTATAGGTAGGATGCTGCAAGACAACGGTGTTGGCTTCTTCAGTCTAGTCTAGCGGCCAAAGAGTCCGAATGTTGCTTGCGAGCTAGTCAGCTAGTCAGCTAGCCGCCACATCGTCAGCCTGTCACTTCTGTTCTCGTAAACACCGGCTTTCCAACTTCCACATCATATGAAGCTCCGCCTCGAAAATCACCTCGACAGCAGCATATGAATTGACCCAGAAATCGTGCGAAGATGCCGCGTGCATGACGAAGGGAACTCGACCATCCAAACCCCGAAATCAGCTCCAGATGTCCCCCCCCCTCTCCCCCGATTTGGGCTTATTATATATATATATATATACGGACCTCCCAGACTCGGTGCGAGTCCAGGCCGTGGCCCAGGGGCGCCGCGACGAAGGCATGCCGGCCCAGGGCCCGGAGGTAGGATCTCCAAGGCACCTCACATCATCCCATACCAGTGTGCTCTAAGGGCTCTTTTGGGTTTAGGGTTTTTTTGGGGTTCAGGGGTTTAGGGTTATGACTAGGAAAGCATCATGAAGGAAAGGACGGGTTTAGGGTGAAGTCGCCCGGAAGCCCGGACCATCCTGTCTCTCCCCTGCCCACCTGGGTCCAGTTGCCCTTCAGCGCCTCGCAGGCGCAGCGCCGGTCGACGCACCTCCCGGTCCTTATAAGGCAGCGGCAGCGGCGACTATATCCGCTTGTAACCGTGACGTCGATGCGTTTCAGGATGCTGCTCTGCTGCTCTGCTGCTCTGCCGAGGCTCCGGAGAGGCGGCTGCCACCAGGACACGGCCGCGCAGTCCTCAGAGGCGCCGCGCGACTCTTTTAGAGCGGCTTAGAGGGCGAGGGGCCGATCGGGGCCGACACATGTGTGCCCCTTTCTAGCGGCGGCGACGGGGAAGAAGCAGAGGACGCAACCATATGCAACCTATAGCTGCTGCAACGTGTTGAGACCCTGACATCTTGCAGGCCAAGCTTCCACTGGCAGCAGCACATGCGATGACCTCTCGGCAAAAGGCAATGCTTCCTGCAGGGCGGTAGGAGCCGCCCAGCAAACCCAGAGCGGAAGGGTGAGAGGAGTATATAGGGACCCGCCCGGCTACAGGAAATACTGCCTCTCGTGAGAGCTCAAGCTGCCGTTGCTGCTGGCGCACGCTCATGTGCAGAGCCTCCGGCATAAAAACTACCCCATTCCGGTGGCTCAAAGAAGCTGCCGTCATTTGCCTTTTCCGAGGCGGTGTGGAAATCCAGACCCAAGGGCAAGGGCGCCAGCTTCCGCAGCGTCTCTCCTGAAGAACTCCACGCAAAATAACACGGCCTTAGAAGAGGCGAGAGAAAGTGAGAGCCGGGCCTGCAAGACAGTCGGAGGCATCGTAGTTCCTGGGAAGGAGTGCTTCTCGAAGACTCCACGGAGGAGTGCCCCGGGCCGAGGCTCTGTGCAAACCAACGGAGGAGCCGCGGATCACCGAGGAATCTCGACAAGTTCCCCCAGGACAACGCCCAGCTCCGAGCCTCTCCGAAAGAGCGGATGAGCTTCGACGAAAGAGAGAGCGAGACACGAGAGCGCTTTTCAATTTCCAGTGGCGGGCTCGAACTATGAGCGGCCTGGTGCGAGGGCGCGTCGGGGTGCACCGCAAAGAACCTCGTTAAAAAAGTCGAGGCCCACTTCAGAATGAGATCGGCGCAAACCCCGTTTTGTCAGTCTGGTGGCTCTGGACGACGCCTGGGAACTCCGAAGAGCTCGCATGGTACTCCCACATCCTGCCGTGGAGCAGTGCTCGTCAATGACTCAGGAAAGGTGCCCGAAGATGCCCCCAAGTGCACGGCTAGCGCCTCCTGTCCCGTGACCAAGGTGATGCGCGTTTCTGGGGAAGATGCCGCCAAGCCTTGTGAAAGGACTCAGAAAGCTTTTTGACGGGTCGGCAAGAAACAGAGGAGTGACAACAGCAATATCACCAATGTCCTCGAACAAGACACGTGGGAGGAATTGGATCAAATCCATGGACGGCACGTACACGATCAGTGATGCATGGTGCGCAAGATCCAGCGACGACCAGTCGAAGACCGCAACTTCGAGACCTGCAGGACATCAGAAACGAGCTATCACCCGTAAGCAAACATGAAACAGCATCTTCCTAAAATCCTGGTAAGGCCAGAGGCAGAAATTCCCGCCTCTGTCGTTGCTTCGGAAGGTCGATGGGAAGAGGTCGCAGCAGCTACGGGCGAGACCGCGGGACCATAGAGTGGCTGTAAACTCCCGGAACTCGGCTTCCTCCGGTGAGGCCTGCTGTTTTGTGGAGCACTTCCGAGGAAAGGATCCGAATGGATTCGTGCAAAAGCCCCCAACTTCTGAACACTTGGAACTCAAAGGACTTCGTGGCAATATCATCAATGTGGCTGTATGAATCTCTGTGCGGGTTATACTTGGTCTACCTTATGGGCCGCTAAGACTCTAAGAGGCTCTGTGTACTGCATTGTTTCTGTGGCGGCCGCTGCCCATGGACTGCTGGAGAACCATCAATCAAGATCTTGACCACCTTGCCCAAAGACCGACAACTGAAGGGCCCATCCCCATCCCGGCCAAGGCATTGCGCACATCTGCAATCCAGGTGGTGCAGGCACAAAGCAGCGCCACCGCCGATCTTCCCATCCGCCGCGTCCATGGCGTCTGATTGTCAAATCAACTCCAATCCCACTCGAATAATTAGGCTGCTGCCTGGCTACGAAGCTCTGGTCGGAAGCTCGTTTCAAGAACTTCCTGCTAGCCTGGTCCTGGTATACTGCAGCATGGAGCCATGCGCAAAGAGAGTGCATTGCTCAGACCTTCCCAGAAAAGCAGTTAACGCGGCCAGGGGTGCGTAGCCGGGGGGTGCGCCGATCAGCTTGGACACCTCCGGCAGAGAAGGGCGGAACCAGAGCCCGGGAGCGAGTCGAGGAATCCCTGGGCTCCCCCACGGTATGCTTCTCCATGAACCTCAGCGTACCCAAATCGCTCCGTTTGTCATTTTGCCGGTCTCAATCGTTGACGTCAGAAGTTAATAACCCCCTTGGAGGAAACAAAGCCGGGTCCCAGGATTCTAATCGTTCAGCAGCCGTGACGCTCGCTCATGTCCAGGCGGATCATGGTCTCCTGAACAGCTGCAAGCTCTGCAAAGCTGCTCCTTCCACGTCAAGTGTGCACTGCGACAGCACTGCCCGACAAAATATCGCGCCTCCGAGCCAAAGAAGGTCGAGGCCAGGGTCTTGCAAAGCGCAGTCTTGCCCACCCCGGTGGGCCCGCAGAAGCAAAACCTCAGCACTCCCAAGTCCCGAGGCTCAGAACTCAAATGGGCCTCACTGAGACCCCTCTTGGGTTTTGTTAAGATCCATGCTTCATTTTCACGTTTTTTTTTTTGCGGTTTTTTTTGCGGTGGGCCCACAAGAAGCTGTTGGTGTGAATGCAGGTAGCTGCTGAGACCTTCTCAGCTGCGAGCCCGGCCATGGGCCTCTGCGGGTTCCGCAGGCCCGCGCGCGCCCGGCGGAGGGCACGGGAGACGCTGCGCACGGCCTCCAAAGCGACGCAAAGCGTCGCACACAGGGCACAACACGCGCCGTCCCCCAGGCGTGTGCAGAATGAACGGCTCACAGCCACGCAGGTGGCAGCAGCTGCTACTTCATGCTTAAGCCCCACCTTGCCCAAAAGGGCTCTTCTCAACAGCCTTCATCTGAGATTTGTGTACGGTGCGAGAGCACAGAACAGATTCCTTACTCTCCAAGGCTTCTGGCAAAGTGAAGGATCCTTGGCCGGGAGGCCGGTGGCGGTAGTCACGAGCACATCTGAGATCCGGAACATGCAGACACAAATGAAACCTGCTTTAGCGGGCCGTGACTGGAAAGTGTAGCGAAGTGTGGTGTTGCCAAGCGGTAAGCTTTCAGCGCTGTGCTTTCCTGAGTGTCTTGATCTTCTTTTTGTTCCCTTCCTTCTCGGTGCTTCTCGGTTCTCTGAGAGTTCAGTCTGCAAAGAACCGACAGACAGGCTAGTGCATGTCTCCCCGCGCGTCTTAACGCATGAGTGCATGTCTCCGGCCAGCCTCGTCCTGTCCAATGATGGTCTCGTGGAGTTCCTCTAGCTGTCGATTGTTGGGTGCTTAACTTCTGCTTCCATGAAGGAAGAGTCTTGCATGTGCATTACAAAATGCACAGAACATGAAAGACTGACACATCGTCTGGTATTGCCTTCTCCAAATGGAGGAGTCTGGACGACTCGCTGGCACTCACCTGGTTCGGCTGTGACCCGGATATCGATATGCAGCTCTTCCAGCACCAACCTGTTCCACTGCAATGCCCGTCCAGCTGGATACCACCTGGCCAAAAACGTGGCAACCGGCTAATATCGTACTGCGAGCCGTACTGCGTCGAATTGCCTGCGCCACGTCCTCGGCTGTCACCTGCCGAACGAGGGTGGCCTGCGGCAGAGCTCAACGGTCTCAGCAGGTGAGCTACAAATTGGAATCCTCCAATCGTCCCGAGCCAGCAATGCCCGGACATGGGGCTGTGCTATCAACAGCATCACCGACACTGCCCAAGTAACTCTACCTGTAGTCTCCATTGTAGTTCCGTTTTGGGGTTACCTTTTAGGATCCTTAATATAGAATGGGTTAAACCAAGAAACGGAACTACAATGGAGACTCTAGGTATGCTATGTGGCCTTAGGTTGCCGTCTCGAAAAACCGCACCTCGCTGGGGACGCCGCTCTGCTGCAAAAGCTCGGCCACCTGCGATCAGGCGAAGGAGCCCACGAGAACATTGAGCACGGCTTTGAACTGACAAACAGATCCCCCCCAAGACTGCCAAACCCTAAACCCTCTAAACCCTATAAGCCCTAAGCCCTATAAAACCCTATAATTACAATGACCCTATAGTAACCCCATAATCACCTTAGAATCACCCTATAGTAACCCTAAAAACCCCCTGTTTAGCCCTGTAGCAATCTTTGGCGCCGGGGCCCGGCCTGCATCTCCCTTGCCTTCAGCTCCTGGGCCTCCACGAAGCGCTCGGCCGTCACAGCCTTCGCCAGTCGCAGGAGCGGGTTTTGCGGGGACGCAGGGTTTTGGGTTTTGGGTTTAAGGCGGAGAGGAGCCCTTCTGAGCTCTACTCTACTGTAGTGTTGACCCTATAGGGGTCCAAAGGACCCAATAATACGGTACTCTGGATGCGGATAGTAGTTATCTAGGTTAGATTTGGGAAAGTACATGCTTCTTTGGTACTTGGACCGTTAGGGTTAAGGGTTTAAGGGTTAAAGGGTTTAGGGTTTGGGGTTCAGGGCGTAAGGTTTAGAAGGGCTTCGAAGCTCTTCTAGCGTGCATGGTGCCCAGCGATGCCTCGCGGATCTTCGCTCCGAGGCTTTGGAGTTCCTGGAGAGTTGCAGCCACCCCCGTCGGTATATAGAAAAAACAAACAAATAAATAAATATATATATATATAAAACATATATGTATGTATGTATGTATATATATATACTTATTCATTTATCTATACAGTGCCTGTGCTTCATCTGTTTTGTGGCTGCAGCGCGCTACAGCGCTCTCCTTCACGAGGCCCTGCGGGTCTGCACTTTCCGCCGAAGCTTGCAGCCTCAGGAAGTCTTGCTGCCCAAGGCCCCCTGCACCGCCTCTCTTTTCATGCTCTATATTTTGAAGTCAGATCTCTCTTAAAACTATACCGCCTCTCTTTTCATGCTCTGAATTTGGAAATTCGATCTCTCTTAAAGCTACTGAACTCTACCGAGAATTCGTCGGAGGCCTTGCAAGACGCTCGGCCAACTCCTTCTCCTTGCGCTTCAGCTCCGCAGCCTGGGCTGCACATAAATATTGGGGGGCGCAAATAATCAAAATGACCAAACTCCGGATTATTTTGATTAGTTTAATTACTACAGTCGCTGGGTTTCTCATTTAATTCAATAAGATACGATTATTGTAAGTATTTCCAAAATTTTTGGGACACAAGCAATTAAAATATGTAAAATAGTTTAAATCCCTGGCTTCATCTAGGGATTTCCCAGTATTTCAACAAAAATAATTACTACAAGCAAATCATCCGGATTTTACTTTTCTGAAAATTTGCGGGGCCCCAAGAATCAAAATAATTCAAATTCGGAATATTTTCGTTGTTTTAGTGTATGATGATTTGATGTAAAAACATACTAATAAAATATTTTTCAATGTTTGAAAAATTTTGCGGCCCAAATAATTAAACTAAGTTAAATCCCTGGCTCCATCTAGGGATTTACATCCCTAGATTAGGGAATTCCCCCTATTCAAATTTATGATTTTTTCAACTGTGTGTATATATATACACAGTAAATGAATTGTTTTAATTATTTTCAATACTATCATCTATAGTAGCCAAATCAAGATGTGTGTGAGTGTGTGTGTATATATATATGTATGTATATGTTTTTGTATATGTATATGTATATGTATATGTATATGTATATGTATATGTATATGTATGCATGTATGCATGTATGCATGTATGCATGTATATTATATATATATAGATATATATTTGTACATCAGAAGATCTCACAAACTAGATTGAAGATCATTAGTTCAGAGACGTGTCAGAAGTATATATGAAATCCAAGTCTAGCTTCAAGCTCCCTGCTCCCATTTTCTCCCTGCCGGCCTCCTCGAAGCGTTCCTCGCGGGCCGCCCGGGCCTTTTGGGCCGTGACCTGCGGAGACGGCCAAGCTCCCCCAAACTCTGAAACCCTAAACCCTACAATCCTAAATCCGGAAAACCCTAAAGCCCTAAACCCTAAAACCCTAAAGTCCTAAACTTTAAAACCCTAAACTTCTAAACCCTAAAGTTCCAAACTCTAAAAACTCTAAAGCCCTAAATCTTGAAGCCGTCTCCAAGGGGAGGCCGCAATCTGCGAAGCGGCGGAGCCCAAAAAAGGGCACTGGGACTGAACCGACTGGGCCTCCTCCAGCTCTCTTCCTGCAAGGGCTATGTCTGCAGGTTCATGGGTAGGTATAAAGTGGGGTTATAAGTAGGGTAACTATAGTTATAACCCTTATAAGGGGACTTAGAACACCTATGCTCTCCACTTTTTGGTTTAACCAAAATTTTTATTAAAGATCCTATAAGGTAACCCCAAACAAGAACTACAATGGAGACTATAGGTTAGGTCTACCCGATGCTTCCAAGGACCCTTTTTTTCTTGGGTCCTTGTAAGGGGTCCTGAGGCCCTAACTATCAGGTCCTGGGAAGCTTAGGGTCTATAGAAATGTAGGTATCTCGCTGCTTTTTCTGGATTTTATCAGCACTGAACCTCTAGAAACTTCATGAGTAGCTCGGCTCCTGCTGCCCACTGCTCGGCCGCATTCTGCGTCTCCTCTACGGGTCCAGGGTCATCATTTCGGGACCGACTCGAAGCTCTTCTTGGCGAAAGCGGCCCCGTGCCTCCACCGCTTGGAAGAGCTGCTGCCGGACCTGCGGAGAGCTGCGAAGCTCCGAGAAAGGGGGGCCCCGCGGCCGCGGTTTAGAGCGGTCCTTGGAGCCGGCTTCGTCCATGACGTCAATGGCCTCAAACAGCGCCCATAGCCACGTCTCTCAGAAATGAAAAGTCTGGTCTCGGGCCTTGTCTGGAAGGTAGCGGTCCGCAATAAACTGGCAGGAGAGCTTCACGGAAGCTTCCAACGCCTGGGAAGCTTGGAGCCATGTCTAATGTTTCTCACCTTCTTTTCATGTGACACTGGGACATGCGCACACAAGTTGTAGTTGCTGCACACTCAAGCATGTGTAAGCAGGACGTGTAGCCCCGGAAGCTGTGCGAGGGTCTGAACTCTCTGTCTTGACAAGGCCTCGCTTGTGTAGCTGAGCTGATGATGCTTCTCGTACCTCCCAGAGATCAAAGATTCCGTGGACCCCCCCGAAAGGAGGGCTGGCCGGGAGCAGCTCAGACACTGATTGAAAGCTCTGTAAAAAGTTGTGAGGCTGTGAAGAGCCCTGTCTGCTCACTTCGGGGCCAGGCCCTTGAGGATCTGCACCTCGGAGCCGTTTTGACAGAGATTTCCTAAAGGATATATACTTCTGTATGTAGGACCTTTTGGGTTTATTTGGGTATAGCCTCTTCGCTCATATATAATAATACTCAATTATTAAGTCGACAATCATTTTTTCAATATTTTCAAATTTTTCAAATTTTTCCATTGAACGAAAAAATTGAAAAATTTCAAAACCTACTTTTTTCAAAATTTTCAAATTTTTCAAATTTTCCCTTAAACGAAA